AGAACAAGAAAGAAGTGAGACAGAGAAGCACGATGGATGAATTCAGATGGATTCAAATGTTTTTATGTCTGATGATTCAGATTGCAGGTAAGAATATAGGAAACATTTTAAACAGAAGTAAAACTAAGTTTTGACTCTAGTGATCAAACCTTACTAATAAGGTTTGATCACTAGAATAATCATTAACCTTTACAGATTAGCGATTATTACAATGAATAACCTTTACAGCAAATAAGAGAGCTGAGCATGCTCTGTTGTTTTAGAGGAGCATGGGACATATTTATAAACTTGTGTCTGAAATGATCTTCAGTCTGACTGTAAAAACTTCTGTATTCTAATTTATTTTTTATATTTCTCTTCAATCTTCTCAACAGTATCTGTAAATGAAACATCGATTTTTATGAAAGTTGGAGATGACGTCACTCTACTTTGTCTAAATGTGATAGATGAGCAGAATAACTGTGATGGGACTACGTGGATCTTTACTTCAACAAACAAACCAAGAACAGTAGAGCTGATCACACTTGGACAGATTGGTGAAGAAGCCAAAACTCAATCAGACAGACTGAGAGTTACAGCGAACTGTTCTCTGCTTATAAAGAAGCTCACAGTCGAGGATGTTGGTCTTTATTACTGTCAACAATACAAAGTCAAAGAAACACCATCTAAACACACTCTGGTTCATCAGTCTTTTGTTCATGTCGCTGTTATTACCTGTGAGTATTTACATCAAAACATTTTCAGCTCAAACTGTCTTAATAGCATTGATTAGGATAATTTTTTCTGATTTACTCTGTTTTTCTCTCCTTATAGTTCTTTTTTTTTTTTCATTTTTCTCTTATTATATTCACCAGTGACTGAACATAAGGACATTGATAAGGGGACGCTAAACTGCTCTGTGCTGACATATGGAGAGTGTCATCAGACAGTGATGTGGCAAATTAAAGGTAAAGATGTAGACAAACATAACAACCAAACAGTGACTTCACACACTGTTTGCTCCACCACGGTGTCCATTCCAGAGTCAAACTTTCTTTACTCATCAAGATATAACATACTGGCATGTGAAGTGACTGACACTAAAACAGGAAAAGTGCAGCTGTTTACCTTCACTTCTCAGCTCACAGGTGAAGAAACAGGTGAGTTTATGATCAACTGTTTAACCTCCTAAGACCCGAACTCATTCACGGCATGCATTTTTAATTTCTCTTTGATATTTGGGCATATTGGGACCTGATGAATGTAAAAACAAAGAATTACCAGATTTATTTTCTTTTTACCTAATTTATGTTTCTAGGAAAATGAGAGTCGCATATGAGGATTTGTTTAAAATTTTGATATAACAGTAACGGTATAATGTCCTCGTAAGTGGATATCAGGCCCTTGTAGAGCAAAATTGAGTATTTTGGTCTAAATAACCCAAAATGTGGTGTCCACATATGTGGATGCCAGGTGCTAGGAGGTTAATGTGATTAAAATCACATAAACATATATTTGACTGATTTTAAGTTTCTTTTTACCACAATGTTTTTTTTCTTATATTTATAACACAAAAACGTTTAGTTGTGTCTTTTTTTTTTATTATATTATACATTTATTCAGGTGACACAAAATCAACAAAGACACCATCCAGAAAAACTGAAAGGAACACAAATTCAGAAACAACCACAACAATAATAATTCACAAGGTAGTCACCCATAAATATATTCTTTTATCATCATCAGTAATCCTTCTTTTATTCATTATTTTTCTGACACTTAATAATTTAGATTAAAATGTGCCAGACTTGATAAATGCATAACTGCCTTTCGTTGCCCTGTGCATGTGCAATGACAATAAAGTTGAATTCTATTCTATTCTATTCTATTCTATTCTATTCTAAATGAAGAACCTAAACAAGCACTACATGAGGAGAAAAACTGAAAAAAAATATTTCATGAGGTGCAAAAACTTATTATGCAATCACAAACTTTAGATGTTTTTAAGTGCTTGGCATTTATCAACAAAAAAAATAGCATCTGAATATTTTAAAATACTTTCAAGGGGTTAGGTAAACATTTGGATCTTTAAAAAGACCGAATTTAAAAGGAACAGAAAACTTTAAACAAATGATTTAATGTTAAGAAATAGAGAGATATTTTTAATGTGTATCTGCTCATTAGATTGTTTTATGTACTTTAATAATGAATGCTTGTAGAGCAAGGCCACTTTTGACTCACAAACTAAGTGCTCAGCCAAACTGAAAAACAGGAAGTTTTAGTGCACAGGCATATTAATAGATAAGACACAGAAAAGAGGAATTTTGCCATATAAGCAATGTTTGAAACTGTGTGATGTGCAAAGTACAGAAATAACACCATATAAGACATATGTGGAGCTAAAAATGTTAGAGATCCTGCAACTGGCGTTTGGGCTGTGCAGAGGTCTCTCTCTTTCAGAAGATGATTGAATAAAAAGAAATATCAATGTTTTAACACACTATGAGTCGGTTTTCTCTGTTCTATCATGGGGACAAAAGAATCGGGGTTAATATTTAATAAGTTGACATTTTTATTCTTTTTTTCAGATTCTTCTGTATCTTTGAGGTCCATTATTGTCTCTGTGGGGTTAGCAGCAACTTTAATAACTGCTGTGTCAGTCAACATATGGACAAGAACTAAAGGCAAATTTAATAATGAGAACTTTGAATGATTTAGAAATTTTATTTTAGACTGAAATTGACTTCCTTTTCTCATTCTAGGGAACACGACCAAGATGGATAAAACAGTAAGTAAAAAAAACATAGTAATCCAACATAAAAGTCAAAAGTCCTAAAGGTTGTTTTATGACATTTGTTATTTACTAATAGCTGTAGTTCATGATGTTCATGAGATTATTATAAATTTCTTCAGTTAAATGTGGTACAGCAGAGGATTCACAAGTTGTGTTTCCTTATATTTAAAACTAGAGGGTTGTTGGTTAGAACGCCAGTGAATCTGCATGTGAGAGTTCATTTTGGGAAAGTTATTGATGCTCTCTTCTCCTTATAAATTTTTACTAAAGCTATATTTATCTCACAGCTGTGGTAGAATAGTTAAGCTGGACCCAGCAGCTGACAAACTTAAAGCAGACCGGCAGGTGGCAGAGCAAAAGAAGTTAAAATAGATATGACAACTAAACAAACACGGCTGCACAGCGGTAACAAAAACTCAAAAACACAGACACAAATGAGACATGACAAACTAACCTTCAAAATAAAACAAGAAGTAACCTGATGAAAAGCCAACTGAAAATAAGACATGCAGACAGACAAATAAAAAACCAGAGACAATACAGAAACCATTAAAATGCACTTGTCTTAACTCGCATTACGAAATGTTTTATTTTGTTTGTTTGTGTCCCACAGATACATTATGATCAAGATGATGTTACAATTAACTATGAAAACATCGGGGTTTCTGCTGCTTCAGTCAGATTCAACTGATCAACTTGGCTTTTATATTACCAGTATCATCTCATCCAGTTTTATAGATTAAATAGTATAAAATAGAGAAGTTTATTCAATGTAAGTCGTTCCCATTAAGTTGATTCAGCTCATCTGCGTGTTTTGCTTTCAGTGGGTGAAATGTGTCATCATTCACCCTTCTTTACTCTTCTTCAGTCACTCGGATATTTGACGAAACATGTTCCCCTCAAACCGCTATGATCTGATTGAGCATGTATCAAGACCATATACATAGTTGTTTTGTGTTTCAATATTCTGATTATGGATTTATATTATGGATATTCAGGTCTTGAACTTGTATGAGTTTTATTACATCCTGTTCAGACCTTCACTCACATCTTTGATTGAATAGACTTAGAAGAAGAGGAGTCGAGGATGTACAAACCGAGAAATAGGTAGCCAATAAACAAGTTTCACAATTAACTCTCTTCTATGTATACCTATTCTCTAGCTCCACTCTAAACCTATCTACCCATTTGACCTACTTGACCACAGTTTCTCTTTTACATTTGTTAATAAACCACATAAAGACTGTTTCTGTGCACGTGGATCTTTTTTATGCTCTCCTAATATATTTGTGACACAATACTTCATGGTTCTGTAAATTACTGAAATGAAACAACCTGAGACTTGAGGTGAGAGAACAGGAAGTTGTGTGGTGAGAGAGGCTGACAGAGAGACTAGCAGCTGGAGGTGGCTGAAGTACAGACATTCCTTATTTAAATCAAAGTGCAGATACATGTGTTATAGAACATCCTGGCAAATGTTGAAGTACTGACTCAACTTCTTTTAATCAAGTTAAATGGAAAAGGTGCAGCATTTTAAATGTACTCAGTAAACAGTAGTTGAAAAGTAGTTTGCTTACATTTCTACCAGCTATAATAAAATAATAATAGAAACAGGAATACAGTTAAAGGGAAAAATGAGGACAGCCATTTGGTTAAAGTGGGATTTGGCACATTGGGAAAATCTAGTACTAGTTGTAGAGGCTCAGTGTGAGGTAAAAGAATGACTCACAACTCCAGTAATCTTCTTTGTATAGGCTATTTATCCTGCACTAAACTGCTGATTGTTTTCACGCAACCTTTAAATAAAAGTTAGTTTAACTCACTTTACATTTAAATATAACCATTGTTCTTTCTCTCCTTTCCAGTCTTTCTTACATCTTTCTCCATCTCTAAGTGAACTGCTCTCTCCTTCAGGGAAATACAGCAGCTGTACCTTATCATTTCTCTTTATGGTAATTTCCCTTTATTCGAAATATCTTCATGAATTTCCCTTATATGGGTACATTATGAGCAAACCCACTCCAGGTTTACCACAGAAAACTGTCACAGGGCCACAAAGGTTAAAAGCGATGTGGGGCCTGCATGGCCTAACCTTCAGTGTGGGGGGGAGGGAATTTTGTGGGTTAGGCAGCTTTTGGAGCACCAAGGGGAAAAACTACTGGGGGCCTGTTTTAGTCCACTGACCTGGGCCAACGTGGGGTGTAGGTTTGCCTTTCCCAACCTACCCCACAGGGCACAGTTTCATTCTGTTTGAAGATTGGTAGAGATAATTTACTGATATGATCAGTGCTAACCTTTTTTTTTGCGGTCTCGCACCTCTAGAGCTTTGCTGCTGTTGTAACCACATTCACACCAAATTGCTTCCTCTTCCCTTCTCTGAAATGAAGTACTTTAGATTAACAATAAAGAATACACGAGTCTCAGACCACTAAAATAATTTATCTTGGTTTTACCTTGGTTAAAAGAGGACCTAAATGCAGGACTTCTGAATAAAGACAGTGGATTTATTTACAATGAAAAAAGACCAAAAAGCAGTGGCAACAATCCACAGTGTGTGTGTTCTTCACGCACCCCTGCCCAATTCCTGTGCGGTGATTGTCCTCTAAGGTCCGTGGTGTTTCTCCTCCTCGGCGATATGTACATTAGTGTTCTGATCCCGCCACAGGTTTCTGCAATTCTCCTGGAAACAAGAGATGCAACAGTGAGTACATTCCCATCCACCGGCCGACAAAAACACCTTCACCATTCAGAAAGGAGAGTCACTGAAAAACATGATCATATGTGCTGTGTTCTTAGTGTAACACGTACGCCACTGCTGTCACACACACAAATGTGTACAAAGGGAAACAAGGGACCAGGAGCATATTACGCCAACAAACAACCATAAATGATCCAGAAAGACAAATAGAAGTCATAATATTCAATACACCCAAAAATAACACATGAGCACTGGGCCCCCAGGCCCAGGCCCATGACATCTTCAGCTCTGTGTTCTTTGTGCTTTCTAAAATAAACAGAAAGAGGGACCGCATTATCACAAATATTTATCTTAACTTACAATCTTCACACATTCATCTTGTTCAGTCTTCTCTGCAGAGTGTCAATTATGTCATTGTCACAAATACACTCTGGCAATGTACACAATGAGTATCTGGTAAATGTTAATATAATTTACCTTTATAATAATTTCACTTTATAAAAAACACCTTCGTGAATTTCAGAGAGGTAAAAAGATGATATAGTCCATCTATAAAACATAACATCAAAAGAAAATCTAAAATAATATTGCTAAGGGCTGTGGTCAGGAAGTGTCAGTAATGACAGGAAGTACAAACAGTCTTAAAGATGCATCAGTTCAGAGACGGTGACAGTTGAGATCGAGAATAAGAAAGAATTAAGACAGAGAAGCACGATGGATGAATTCAGATGGATTCAAATGTTTTTATGTCTGATGCTGATGATTCAGATTGCAGGTAAGAATACAGGAAACATTTAAATAGCAGTCAAACTAAATATTATCTATATTATTACAATATCAAAATTTTATCATAAACCTTTACCTAAAATGATCTTCACTCTGAAAAGTGCTATATTCTAATCTATTTTTGATTCCTCTCTTCAATCTTTACAATAGTATCGGAAAATGATACCTCAACGTTTATAAAAGTTGGAGATGACGTCACTCTGCCTTGTCTAAATGTGATAGATCAGCAGAATAACTGTGATGGCACCACTTGGGTCTTTGGTTCAAGAAACAAAACAACAGTAGAGCTGATCAGACTTGGACGGATTGGCAAAACTAAATCAGACAGACTGAGTGTTACAGCGAACTGCTCTCTGGTTCTAAAGAACGTCACAGTTGAGGATGTTGGTCTTTATTACTGTATACAATACAAATCAGAAGAAGCACAAGTTGAGGAAGCTCGGGAACGTGAGTCACTGGTTGTTCTCTCTGTCATTACTGGTAAGTATTTACATTAAAATATTTTTTCAACTTAAACTATTTTTAGAATATTAAACAGATTTATTATATTAGACAGATTTAACACCGTTTGTGAAACTGGATTTAAGAAATACGTGTTTTAGTTGGGTAAAGCTTTTAGAACATGTTCAGCGACATCTTGTGCCAGTACAGAAGCTGATGTCACCTGGTTGGTTGCTCCAAATTCATTTTTGTTAGCTAACTAGTAACAGGACCAGTAACTCGGTGTAAAACAAGGACACTAAAATTGAAAAGCAGTCTAAGGTGATCACTGTTGTACTGACCTGGCAGCAACACATCCACTCAATTAGTCTCTTTAGCAGTAAGTGCTTTTTTGTTGTTTGGCTAGCTGCAGTGAAATGGAAAATCCACCTGTTAGCTGTAATGTTCAGGGTTCAGTGTGTAGAAGAGCCTGTTTGAGTCAGGTGACAGGTGTTTAACCGGACTGACAAGCTAAAATCAGAAACTTTGACTAACCGCCACAATCAGTTTACGTCACAAAATGCAATCAGGACTATTTTATGCAATAAGATTGTGTTTATTTTCCCAAGCACACCCAAACAGGTACAATATTATATGCAGCATCACAGTCCAAACGTAACTAGGTTTATTACATTTATTGCACTGGCACAAAATGGTGCTAAACTAAACTAAAATGTTCTAAACACTTAAAATTTAAACATGCTTTTCTTAAATCCAGCTTCACAGACACTGTTAAATCTGTGTCAGTTAATGAGAGTAGGTCTCCATAGTGTAAATTAGCCTTTAGACATGTAGAGTACATGTCATGATCGGAGGCAATAAGACGCAGGGTTCTCAAGCACGAACCGCTTTTTATTGAATTGTAGCAGCAGTGTACGTGGTTACATCAATTTCTGGAAAACACATATACACACCCGTATTCTAGCGACCTCTAGTGGCTGCCCCCATAGTAGCCTTACTAGGACAACATAAACAGATTTCACAACAGTACAAGTTATCAAAATAACATGACTAATTTGTGCCGTTTTTGTCACAAATTATGTTTGACAGTAACTGAACATGAGGACACGGATCAGGTCATTTTAACCTGCTCTGTGTCGACATCTGACGAGTGTCATCACACAGTGAAGTGGCAGATTAAGGGTCAATATGTGGACAAAGACAACAAACAAACACGGATTGCACAAACTGACTGCGCCACCACTCTGTCCTTTCTGGAGTCTCACAATATTTACCCATCAAGATATAACATAGTGTGTGAAGTAACGGATACTGACACAGGAAAAATACAGCAGTTCACCTTCAAGCATCAGCTCTTGGCAGTTGAGGAAACAGGTAACATCATGATAAACTGTTTACTATCATCAAATCATCAAACACATTGCTTATTTGGATCTTTATTTTTGTTGTTTTGTCTTTAATGTTTTTCAAGGTGGCACAAAAGTAACAAAAACCAAGTACAATATATGTACAATATATATGTCATGTCCAAACGATAGAACTGAACAAAGGTGTACAACGAAGGCAAAATAGCTGTTGTACAAGCATCTCTCCCTTTAAAAAGGCCCTTGAGGCTGATATTCTCCTGGTGGAGTTTGCTTTTATAACCTGTGGGAAAGTAAAATCTGGTGCTCTAGGCCAGTGAGATAACCTTCATAATCTAGTGAATGAGCCTCTATTTAAACAGGGCTCTAGATTAACAAAGCAGGGAAGCAACTGGTCGCATAAACATGTACAGGGAGTGCAGAATTATTAGGCAAGTTGTATTTTTGAGGAATAATTTTATTATTGAACAACAACCATGTTCTCAATGAACCCAAAAAACTCA